GCATTCATTCCAGTGACAAATCCCAGAAATCAGCAGTGTTCTCAGTCTGTGTTTTTGGTGGGTCATTACAAAGAAAAAAGAATGTTTGGTGGTATTCCCTGCTATTTTCTTGCACGCGGGTTTTTTGTCTGCTCTCAGGCTCTTCTTTTTCTTATTGTGAAAGAAGCGGCATATGATAGGGCAGTTCCTTATGCGTTTTCTTTCTTTTGTGCCTTTTTCTTTTTCTGTTTTTGCGGGCGAAGCCGCAACGGGTCATCTAGTTACGCATGAAACCAGATAGTCGTGACCTCGAACCAAAAGAAGAATTGCAACTCAAGTTCCACCAAATAAGAGCACAGCAAAAGCTCACAAGTGACAATGTTGGAATAGTCTCATCATCATCAACAATGAACCAATGTCGATTCCCTATCTGCCACTCAGCGCCCAGACTACGAATGGCAGATCCTATCTAGCCTATCTAAAATGCCGCTGGTGACATCAACAGCTTCCCGAAGTACGAGCAGAACTCGGCAAATGCCGTTCGTCTCAAGCACCAGGTATGTCTCACGCTTCACTCACAACCTCGATCCCCCACACAGATGCCACGTGCACCCAAGGACCACCATGCGCCCCATCCAGCATCTCGCAGGCCAGCTTGGCTATGGCTGCCTCCGTGTACCCTGCTCGCCCGTGAGCGCATGGGCGCTTGCTAGCTGATAGCGCAGCAGCACTTGCGCAGCATGGAGCAAGTGCCCGAATGCCGAACACGGAGGCAGGCACTTTCCTGTATGGAAATGGCCTGCCTGCTGCGTGTTGCCTGGCTGCGCTGGGCGCCTGCACAGAAGCTTCCGGTAGGCCCCAAGTGGCTGAGCCCCGGTCCAAGGGAATCAGGCACAGGGCCTGGGGTGGTTACCCGTGTCCAACTGCCAGCGGCCTGTGTGCAGTCCATGCCCCGTGTCTAGCCCAGGGCCTGCCTCAGATACATTTGGAAAAAGGCAGGCAGGGCCTGGGCTCTCTCAACCAACTGGCGCTGCGCAACTGCCTGAATTTCCCAGTTGCGTGGAAAGCCCAAAATAGGCCTCTCATCCCCTGGCAGGCCTGCCTTCACTTAGGGTGGCCGATATTGCTGAAAACAGGGACCAGTAGGGCTCATCGAGGCCTTGAGCCTCGCACAATTCAGCAAAATCATCCAATTATTTTTTCAGAAATCGAGAAATCGTCCTCCTTTTTTTTTTTTGGCCTGGAGGCTGGTCGTTTTTGTCAAGATTTTGGCGCCCGAGAAATCCACTGACATGCATAAATCGAGAAATCGTCCAATTATTTAAAAAAAAAAAAAAAAGTGCTGCGCACCACGTTTTGTTACATCACACAGACACAGTAATACCGTTCAGAACACCTCACAACTCTGCAGCAATTATCATATGGATAGCGAGAGGGAGGAAGGGATTTAGGGATGGATAGATGGACAGCCTCGTGCGTGAACCAACAAACCAAGCCACTGGCTTAGCTAGCAGGTCGGCAATTGACAAATGGACTTTGATCCGACAAGGTTTTCTCTTTTTTGAAGTTTTACTGCACAGTGCAGACCATATCCAGAAATGATCCAACAGACAAATGAAGCAACTGACCAGTGTTCCAACTTCCAAAACATCATGCAAGTTCCAAAACATCAACTGACGGAGACAGAGTGCCAGTGCAGAGAAAAGGAACCAATGCAGCGAATGGACAGACGGACAGATGGGTTGACTAAGGGGTTGGAGTGCCGCCAAATGGATGGTGGGATGGATGAGCGGACAGACGGACAGACGGACAGAGGGAGTGCCGCCAGATGAAAGGAGCCAATGCAGCGAATGGACAGACGGACAGAAGGGGTTGGAGTGCCGCCAGATGGATGGTGGGATGGATGAGCGGACAGATGGACAGA